TTCTCGTATGTATTATGCTAATGATGTAATCTTTTAGGTTATGGAAACAAATAGGATCGAGGAATCTCAAAGCCACGTTCACAGAATGTACTTCATGGGGGCAAATACCTTTAGTGAACCTTGGCATCTACCTCACTCTCCTCCTGAAGAAATTATAGAGATCGTGTAAGTGCACCTCTCCCTAGGACCCTCACTGCTTATATAAAGATACTGTGGGATTCAATGTCTCATATCCACCTCTCTATGCCTGCCTGAGATTGATACGTAAAAATTATTGCTTTGTTAGTTTTCCCATAGCTCTATAGTCCATACTCTTATGATGATTCTTCTCACCTAAATATATGCAGATTCGAGGATGCATTTAACAGATTTGTAGATGAGATTAATAGTTTAGCTGCTTACCAATGGTGGGAGGGATCAGTCTACAGGATTCTCTCTCTTCTTGCCTATCCGCTGTCATGGTCATGGCTCCAGCGTTGTCGCAAAAACAAACTACAGCAACTTCGTGAATTTGTTCGGTCAGAATATGATCATGCTTGCCTACGTTCTTGCCGTTCACGTGCTCTTTACGAGGGGATTAAGGTTTGATATTGGCAAAGCATGTAGATCTATTAGCTTGACGTCAGCTGGTCTTTTAAATATATCTTCTCACTTCAATTTACGGTCTGTTGTGAAGGTTGATGGTATCAGTTCACACATCCTAGTCTTTTTTACTATTTTTTATATTTACTGAACAGTGTAAGCATAGTGCCCTAGAAGTAGTACCTTTCATGGTTTCTAGAATTTTGGTACTTCACACTGACTAGTAAAAGAATTGGAGAGGTGGGTTTTTGTACCTTATGATTGTATTGTGGGTTTGAATCGTATTTAACTTTAATGAGAAGAGTATTCATTGATAGCTACATCCCAATGAACTTGAGAAGAGAATGGCTCATTTTATGTATATCCGTATCTAAACATCATATATTGCAATATAAATATATCGTAGAAATTTATGCTATGATGGTGTCATTTTGCACAAGGACCGTAGCTATGCTAAAATTCAGGCTATCAGTTTCTTTTAGGATTTTGATATAAAAAAAAACTTCTTTTAGGATTGATCTTCATGTCATAATGCAGGTGGCTGCAACATCTGACCTAATGCTTGGCTATTTGGATTTTTTCCTCGGTGGAGATGAAAAGCGAGCTGATCTTCCTCCTTCTCTGAATCAAAGATTTCCAATGTCCTTGATATTCGGAGGAGATGGGAGCTACATGGCTCCTTTCTGCCTTCACAATGATAATATCCTCACTAGCCTCATGAGCCAAGTAAGATTGTTAGTAATTACAATCATTTTTTATGCACGTCATTGCAATATTATTTCTTAAAAGCATCTTATTCTTTATTATTGATCTCAGGCAATACCGCCTACAATATGGTATCGATTAGTGGCGGGTCTGAATGCTCAGTTGCGATTAGTGCGCCGTGGACAACTAAGAGTAACACTTGGTCGTTTTGTTAGCTGGCTTGAAACACATGCAAACCCTACTTTAGTTACATATGACGTGCATCTCAACCTAGCTTCCTTTCAGCCTACTGCTTCAGGATATTGCCAGTTTGGTCTTATAGCATGTGCCGTTGAATATCAAAATTTACCATCATCCATTGAAGGTCAAGATGGTTTGTTGCAACCTGAGCAGCAGCGACCATGGTAACTATATTCGTGCAAGCTACTTTGAGGCCAGAGTTTTGGTAGTGCCGTTAAGCTTAAGTTTCTGGTATATTTGCAGTTTGCCTCGAACTTACAGAGATGATCCAGTGGACCACTCGGTAGTGAAACAACCTCTAATGACATATAGAAGGATGTGTGGTGGTGTTCTACATTCCAAAAGCCTGCGAACTTTCAAAGAGAAGAAGGCTGTGTATTATCCCCTATCTTTTGTCATCTATAATACTAAACCAGTTGGTCATCAGGTAATAAATGCCTCAAATGAGGTCCATCAAGTTTGCCAATAAACCTTTCTCTCTCTGGTATCCAGATGAATTAATAGAATACTGTATTGACCGATTCTCTCGTTAATGCAGGATCTCGTCGGTTTGGTGGTCTCTATGCTGCTGTTAGGAGACTTTAGCTTAGTATTGCTTACTTTGCTGCAGCTCTACTCCATTTCTCTGATGGACTTCCTTTTAGCATTGTCTATACTCCCTCTTGCACTTCTTTATCCTTTCCCGGCTGGAATTAGTGCATTATTTAGTCATGGACCAAGGCGATCAGCCGGCCTGGCGCGTGTATATGCTTTATGGAACATCACGTCCTTGATCAATGTCGTAAGTTCTCTTCATCTTAAGCTTACATTTTATACTGGAGTGCAGAATTAATCGTTTGTGCCTTGCATGTACTAGTATTTCTGATGGTGTCCACTAATGAGATGAAGATTCAAGATTACCGTTTTGCTGCTGTCAGTTAATAAGACAGCATTGTTCTGGGAACTGAATTTTTAGGATATGCCAATGAACTGGAAGACTAGCTTTTTTCCTAGGTTTGTTGTGGGTTCAAGTACCTTCATTATGTTCCTTGCCTTGTTATATTCACACTGCTTCTCGAGTGTACACTTTGCTGAGACGCACATCTGTCACACAGCAGCTAATGTTGGAGATATGTTTCCTACATATTCTTGATCTGATAGTAAAAGGCTTAGCTTTCTTAATTATCACTATCTGATAGAGAAGCAAGGCAAGAATAAGAGTGTGCATCTATTGTCCTTCCTATGCACCTATGCTGCCAACTGTTTACGGCAGTTTAAGTAGCGCATGAGACATGTCAAATGCCATAGATTTTTGTTTTGGCAATAAAGCAGATTCTAACCATCTCTATGACTTTACACCTGAACAGGTAGTTGCTTTCATTTGTGGATTTTTTCATTACAAGAACCACAGTGGAAAAAAGCATTCGAACTCAAACTTTCAGTCCTGGAATTTTAGCGCGTAAGTTTCTGTCTTCGGCTGCCATGGCATGGCAATTGTTGAAGCCCTCTTCTCTTTTGCTGGACACTGCATCAGTCAGCGTAAAAATATTAATGTTCTCGTTTCGATGGCATATAGGGATGAAAGTGAATGGTGGATGCTTCCTTCTGGGCTGGTGCTGTGCAAAATCATACAAGCTCGTCTCATTGATTGGCATGTGGCTAACCAGGAAATCCAAGATCACTCCCTGTACAGCAACGATCCCGAGGTGTTTTGGCATTTCTAATGTGCATACTAATCAGGTACGGATTAGCTGGGCAAGCGGGACTATAATTGTATACAATTTATCTTTTTGTTTCCTTGGGGATCTTCAGATGTTTGTAAAGAGCAGGGTCTTTTTTATTACCTTCTCTTTTAACTTATAAATGGTGGGGTTCATGGGAGAAAGGAGTTCCAAGTCATGCAGCAGCTCTTCAATTACAAAGATTCAATCTGATGTGTACCGTTCATAAATGAAAAGGTCAGAGCTCTCAAAGCTGCTCTTTCTAGAGGCCTTCTCTCTTCTGGGTTCAGCACAGGGTACAAGATGTGATGATGTAGGAGCTTTGAGCTCCTCTAATTCTAGTCATTGCAAGCAAGGATTAGTCATGAGATTTACATGAGTTGTAAAGTAACTGTAATCGTGTCATAAGATTCGCATGAGTTGTAAAGTGAGTGTAATCGTGTAAAGGGACTGTCAATTCTTGGCTCTGGGAAAGCATGTCAGCTTAGTTTTGGTTTTGTACTGATCGCTACGTTGTCACTGCGCTATTTGTTATGTATATAAAGGATCTCATTGTTTATGGAAGCATAGATTTGTTCTTCATTTATTGATACTCTGGTGTCTTGTTGGCTTTCTTCTATTTCTTTTTTCAAATTGCTTCATAGATTCTTCTTTTATCTTATCTGCTTGCAGTATAAGGATGCACGAGTTTTATCCATCAATTGAAATGCATAGCTAGCAAGCTGTGTTGCTAAACAGGAGAACACGTACATCCAATTACAGTCTTGAGTGAGGTCCTTTTTCAGTGCTGAGAATTGAATTGTGACAATGTAGTGATCTAATCACTTTTTTCCAGCATTACCATGGAATGACACTTCCTGCGGTATGTTTTGTCTTAGGACAGTTTGCTCTCCCAGGGTATCTCCGGCACTTGTGGTGCATATTGTAGGGGAGGCATTTAGGCCGACGAGTCCCAGTCATAGTCCCAAGGTTGGACAAACCGGCTCTGATCTGTTGTTTCTCCATTAGCCAAGCATTGGGCAATAGACATTGATCATGTTCGTGCCGATGTTTCTCTGTTGCTCTTATGGACATGTCTGTAGGCAACGAGTTCGGTTTTCCATTATTGCCTACCTCTGGCTTTCTTTGATATAACCTCAACACAAAATAACGAAGTGACTTCCTGCATGGTTAACTTAGATGAATCGGCAGAACATATGAAGTTTTGGAGTTTGTATACTCATTATTTTTTTCGTCACACGAGAAACCATTCACTAGTGAATAACACCGGCTTGCGTGACATCTGTTTTCAAAATTACACTACATGTATCAGCTTGCCAAAGAGAGCCACTTCTGTCTGATTTCTGTTCCTCGTCCTCTTCCATATGTACCAACAAGTGCTATAGATCAGTATCTCGTAGAACTCCTTTTATTTGATCTATGACCCATTTACTCGTGCGTAGTTTCTTGTTCCTCTTCCATACTTTGCACAAGAGTGATGAAGAGGTTAATGACAACGGGTCAGTTTGATTTCTCCCCTACTTGAACGACAGCACGAGGACGGCGAGTTGGAAAAATGATAGGACGGAGTGCTGATCTGTGAATGGTTTCACCAGGCTTTCCAGTTCGACTAGTGTAAACTAATCCAGTTGCATGAGTAAGTGATGATGAACAAGTCAAAACTCAACAACCTCCATTTTGGTTTCGACTTCCTAAACACAAACTGGCTGAGGGGTAAAACTAATTTTTTAAAGGATGATCAGGAATTTCTTCTTCTAAGGAGCTCAGAGAATATTTGTTGGCAATAACAGATTGATACACCAGCAAAATCACGAATTCAGAAAGACAGGTTCAACAAGGGAAGGATTTTCGACCCCATGCACGTCACCAGCTGAGCAAAGAAACATAAAAGATCGTAGCGGTAACAGCAGACTCATTGATTTGGGCAATGACGTCGCGCCCATATTACCTACGTCAGGCTAAAGGTATAACTTGAAATACACTGCGTTTGAGCATAAGATCCAGGTCAATTGCAGCAGATCTCTTTCTTGACCAAATTACTCATATCCTGGTTGGACGGGTTATCTAAGGACTGGGTTGGTGCCTCATCTTCTCTCTTGTCCTCGATAACATCTTTGGCGGTCAGAAAGCTAGGTTGGTTAGTCGACGACAGAAGCCGTGCCCACATTCTATCAGTTATCACAACTTTGTTTTGCTTCTCGGTAATTCGCTGCAGAACAATGAAGAGAACCATCAGTTGACTATAAGAATATCCAGTCTTCTAAGTAACTAGAGTGATTGGGTAGTCATATGATCCGTTAGTTTTCTTTACTTCTTTTGATCAGTAAATGCATATGCAGGATCAAAGCTTATCAGCTTAAACACGAGAGAGCGTGTAGAAGGTGGAAATTTCTTGAAAGCAAACAGGACCATGGTTTGCTATTCTCTGCATAAAGCATACTAGATGGTGGTAAGTAACTCACTGGTAATCATCACAAAATTGAGTCGCCGAAGCAATAAGTTTCCAGAATGTTAAAACAACATTTAACATAGCTATAGAAGGAAGCACGGGCCCATTCAGTAGAAGAAATTTTTTCTTGTCTCGGTCTGGATTCAAGATCAGACGGGTTGAAACTAATTGCATACTATCAGCTAATCATGTTTCTTTATTGCTTTCAAAATCTGTTTGCTGTCACCATTCACTGAAATGAACGACAAAGGTAGGCATCCTTCTTTTATGAAAATGGGATAGAATGAACTTACATAGAAAGGTATGTACGAATGTCTTCCATTGACCAGCCCACTTGTGAAGCCTGTATAACCTGCCATTGCTCCATGGACTGCACTTTGAGCAAGAAGCGTGCAGTATACATTGTCAGAGGCATTGCTGGGGACAGCCCGGATCATGTAAGTAGGGTCTGCCGGACAAAACAGAGAGGAATGTTGAATGAAGTAGTCATTTCCCAGCCTTTCTAAAATAAGAGAGTAATAATATTACTAACCTATAAATTTGAGATTTATGATCATTTTATTCTTCTTGGCGAAATGCTCCTGCCAAAACGGGAAAGTCTTAAGGAGTTTTCAAGATATAGTGTGAAGTCCAGCATCAGAAACAGATGATGCGGAATGAGGAAGTGTCATCTGATTAAACTGTCTCCAAGACTATTTATAGCATTTCTTCAATACTTTCTAGAGAAAATTAAGATTGTTATGAGTGAAGGTCAAACATTATGTATGTTCCTCATCCAACAAAGCAGAGCTTTGACTAGGATTCTAGCAAATAGGACTATTGGTATACGGCCTCTGAAGCTCCATGTCATTGAAGAGAAATTTATAATTGTGTTGTAAAGAGGCAATAAATCATGAGAGCCAAACACAAGTTACAAGATAATGAGTTATATGAACGACTATAAGTTCCGTAATGAACACATGGTAATCCTGCTGGTAGAGAAAACAGACATAGGAGTAGATTGACATGATAATGCAAGAGACAACGCCAATATACTAGACATATACACTTTCGACTATCTCGGGAACATGCTGCATCATTGAAGCAAGATGCTCCACCTAAGTCACATGCATCATCCTATTGAACAATGGTCACTAGGATGTTCGAGCACAGAGAAAGTTTAAGAAAGTTTATCGGGTCACACTTAATAAATATATAAATAAGTCCAGCAGGCGTGATTAGAACTACAATCTACCAGCCAATAACAAAGCAAATACGGAATGAAACTAAATTTGAAAGACCCTTCAATGTTCTGATTGCTAAATCAGAAAAACAATCGCATGCAATTTCGAAAAGGGTGAAAACTCTCGGAAAACAATATGAGCTTCAAACTCATGACTGTAATTTAAGTAGAATAGTCAGTCACCTTGATCTTCTCCGATAGCCAAAGGCCAACATCTCGGAGAAGCTTGTTTCCGGAAGCATCCTTCTTATCTGCGGAATGCATGCTCTCACAAAGAAGCTCCTGCCCTGCACCTTCAGCAATGACAATAACCATGTGCCCATTTTCTTTGAGTCGTCTCTCTATATACTCAAAAAGTCCACCGGGCCCTTCAAGGTAAAAGGGCGATTCGGGAATGAGGCAACAATCAACGTCCCTGCTTGCAAGAGTAGCATACATTGCAATGAACCCTGCAGATTATTTGTATTTTAGCAGAAGAACAACATAAAACATTGAGTATAACTGGTTTGTTTAAGAAGCAAGCATATAAACTCATGGAAATTGCATTAACCTTGTGCTATTTCAAATGTCAATAGCAGCTTCTATTTGTCACCCATTGGACATTTGCAATTAAAAATATGATGGCCAAGAGTTTAAGCTGAATTTCTGGATGTTTATACTTGCAGGTCTATATGCTTTAAAAGGCACAATATTACAAGTAGATTTAAATCTTATCTTTCAAGTTCGTGTTGCTCTTTTTTTCCTTTTCTTTTCTTGATAAAACCTCTAATGCCAGTGAAAGATGTTAATTGAGTAGAAATTTTCATGATCAAGCTGCATCTTTGTATGGGATGATCATGGAAACTAAAGTGAGGGCATGTGGCAAATTACCGCTATAACGACCCATCACTTTCACAAGACCGATGCCATTCTCGCCACTTTCAGCTTCAACATGTGCAGCATTAATAGCGCGTTGAGCTTCTTCAACAGCAGTATCAAAGCCAAAGGACCTGTCTATGACCTATTTAAACAAGGAGGTAGTTCACAAAAAGGCTTTGAGAACCATCAACAGCAATTTCAGAGATTGGGCTGTGCATGAATTACCGGGATGTCATTATCAATGGTTTTTGGGATTCCTGCCACTGCTACCTTAAGACCACGCCTCTTAATTTCCTGAAGCAGTATAGTGGAAAAATTACATGAGAAAATAGAATAGCATGATTTGATTATTGCTAAGAAATCCAACCAATAACAATTTTGTACTAAATGAACTTAAGAAAGAAGCACATAAAGACATGTATGACTTAGCAACATTTATCCAGATGTGGAAATCACACCAATTAGTACTCTATGGTTTCAACTCTACCTCAAAAATGACAGATGCTCCCTTTTGAGTTCCATCTCCACCAATTATGTAAACCTGGAACAAGAGAGCTAAAGTAATTATTTCTGATGCACTGAAGAAGCAGAAAAAGGGTGTAACTGAATCCTAATGCAACTGTTAACCGAGCTTTCAGACTGATCAATATCTTAAAGAGACCTGATTTATTCCACGGTCTTGAATGCTGTCTACAATCTTTGAGGTATCATGGCCACCTCGTGAAGTTCCGAGGATGGTTCCGCCACGTTTATGGATATCATTGACTACTTTTGGAGTAAGAGGGACTGTATTTCGAGAATAAAAGCCCTTGTATCCACCCTGCAAAATATGTTGACCTTAGTATTAATGCAAATTTTTCTTTGGATAAAACTCTGGGCAATGACTTAGAAAAGTTAAACTGAGGAATGTAATGAACAATGCTTTGTCAGTGCAGCATGTGTCGACAAGCTAGGCTAGTTTTCTTATGAAAATAACATGGTTAGGTCAGGTTCAAGAATCGCCTCGAAAGCACGTGCTTCAAGTCAGAAAACATAGTGCTAATTGATTTTGTACCATTGAAGAAAAGAAACATATAACTGGTTTGATTAGCAAAAGAAGAAAATGGAGTGGGGCAGTTCATGCTGTTGCTGCAGAGTCATTCCAGGATATCTGGTAGGAATGGCATCACAAATGTGATTCTCAAGCCTCTGGTAACAAAACGCTCCTATGGGAGGCCAATCCATCGCAAGTGACAACCCCACAGAAAGATTAAAAGGCCAAGCTCTTCGTCTATCAAGCAACACACTTGCACTCAAAATGCCTCCTCAACCCTCTAGCACCTTTTCTAATCTACCCTTAGAGGTAGGATGTGCTGAGAGTCTACGTAATTCATTTATTAGGATGAAGATGGAAAGGCCTTGAAAGAACCTCTCGTCCCATTCTCCTTCTAAAATTTTAAACATGTGAGATTTTAACGACAAAGTTTGGGGCCTCAAACCAAACAATGGAGTGAGTCATCATGATAGTATTTCCATGCTAACTTGACTGAAAGAATGGGTATTGATACAATGCACTCCCTGGTACACTAAGCCTGCAACTTCTCCCTGCTTTTAAAGGGAAAAAGAAGGAAAGAAAATCTCTCTCTCTCTCTCTCTCTCTCTCTCTCTCTCTCTCTCTCTCTCTCTCGATTTTCACATTGAACCTCACTCTGCTTCTACTATGGATAACATTTTAACACTGCTAGAAAGGCAACAAAGAAGAATTGACACGATTACTTACATCTATTCCAAGAACTTTCTTCACACCATACATGTGGTACAATCCACACACAATTTCCCTGATGACGGTGTTGAGCCCTGGACAGAGACCTCCGCATGTGACAATACATGCATGAACCTCATCTGGCTCAAAATAGACCTAAAGTTCGTTCAAGAATAGCTGTCAGCTCCTCAGCAATAGATATCCCAACCTACATACCTATTTTCATGCTCAAGAAACACTGGCATACCTTTTGCCGAGGTCCAGCCCGTCGAAAATGTAAACCTCTCGGACCGGTTTTGTGGGCAATAACCTACAAAATGGAGTCCAACCTGACTAAGTAATAATAACTAAGAGGAGCTTTTGCATCCTGAGCTAATGCATCTATAACCTCTAAACTGTAACAGTCGCTAAAGGGGCATTATATGATTCAATCTTTGAATTAAGCTGACAAGTATACAGCATGCCTAGTCTTTCTGGTGAAGACACCGATAAAAATTCAGCAATTAGAGTTATTGAGTTGTAATACTTCAGTTATTACCAAAACAATGAAACCAAACTCTGTTTCTGAAAAATCAAGGGCATGGCTAATTACACTGAAATTCTTTCACCACCATCGAATGAGTATACGCAAACAAGCAGAGTGAATAAAGAATTTGCAAGCATAAACCGACCTTTTGGGTAACAGTGTCATCATCGTGAACGAAATACTGCCTGGTTCGAGACGTAACAGCGTGTTATTCATGATGAGGAATGGTTTGCTGCATTCACGACTAATAGCAGCAAGTTTCACGTGAATTCACAATGAATAAAAGAAGGGAACTCACTTCACGACGCAATATGCAGGATGGTCTTGCAAGGGATTGCAATGAGTCTGCCAGAATACGTGATAACGAGAATCAACATGAAGGGTAATGTTAAAAAGAAAATGAAACACACACAAAAAAAAAAAAAAAAAAATTCTACCGGGTGTCTATACACACGTGCATGAACATGAACAAATCATGCATAAAGCTAGAGGAGAAGCGCGCGACGTACAGGTAGATCGGGAATGTAATCTGAGAAATGAGGGACGTCTTCGAGCACGTAACCGGCGTCGCCGGTGACGATCTTCTTCGAACTGCTGCCCATCCTGCTCACGTAGGCACCAATTTTGGCCGGTTTTTTTTTAGTCCAGACGGCGAACAACCTCGATATCCGAGAGCAAAAGCTCGGTCGTTCGTTTCTACAGCTCGTCGTATCACTCGCGGCGATCATCGTGGTCGAAGTGGTCGGAGGAGGGCTTTAATGGGTCGATGCGCGATGCGCGAGAGACGGAGTGAATGTAATCCATTCGAATGGAGAGAGAGAAGCGAGGCCGGAGGAGAGAGAAGCAGCGACCGCCATGAAAGTAGGAGACAACTGTTTGAACCCAACATAGCACGTTGAAATTTAAAAAAATCAATTAAATATTAGAAAAAAACATTTACGAGGAGACGCCATGCAAAAGAGAAAGGGATAATCATGCAATGGTCCATCAACTTTGCCTCAATATGTAATGCGATTTCTGAACTTTTTAATTTGTTCAATATCGTCCCTAAAATTTTGGTACAAGTGCAATTTAGTCCCTAAACTTTATAAAAATATTCAATATTATCCTTCAATCAATTCAAGGTCATAGACAACTTTGAACATTTTTATGAATATGTACCAAAAGTTGAGGGATTACATTGAACGGTTTTAAAGTTTAGGGACTACATTGCACATTGGACTAAAGTTTATAGACCACATTGAATAAATTAAAAAATTCGGAGGCCATATTACATACTTGATCAAAATTCAAAAATCATCTGTATCATTTTTCCAAAGAGGAAAGAAGCTCACGAGGACATTGAATTAACTGGACTTGCTCTTGGGTAGGGCACTTATACGTGTAATTGGCTTCTCAATTCTGAAAGATCTACTTGTATTTCATTTATGTTTGATTAAGTTTTCTCAATTTATTCTTGAATTGTCTTTTTTTACTAAAAAAAAGTTAGCCATCGACCGACGGCTACATTTTCTTGTCTTTGACCAACCGCTACAACATTAGAAAAATAGGTACACGTTGGGCCATTGGGCGGCCATCGAAGCGATTCGTCAAGTTGAGCGGGCTTGGGAATCTGGGCCATGCCCGGCCCAATGGGCCTTAGAATCTTCCGATTAGGCCCGGCCCGGACCGGCCCGTGGAATCGATCCGCCGCCTCGACCCGAGGCCCCCGGCCAGCGAACCGGTCCAGGCGGTATCCAGTTAACCAGTAGAAGTGCTTCTCCCCCGCAGCTGGAAGCACAAGACTACACACATTACAGAAGAAGAAGAAGAAGAAGAAGAAGAAGACGAAGACGAAGAAGACGAGGAGGAGGAGGAGGTAGGGGGCGGACGCAGAAGACCGAACATGTATCGAGCAGCAGCTTCGAGGCTTAGGGCTCTGAAGGTCAGTTTCCCTTTCGTCCCTTCGAGAAATGACGAGCCTCTGATCGATCGACGCTGATTTTGCGCCGTTCTTGAATCCCCGATTCGGCTTTTTTGACTGGACGAGCTGTTCGTGATGCACTCGTTGGTACCTCAATGCGGGTGCTTCGAATCCTCCTGTCTTCGCTTTGATTGTAGAACCGCTTCGTTGTTGTTCGTGGGGGATGCTTGGGGGAAGTTCTAGCGATTAAGCGAGAGCGGAAGCTACGATTTGGGGTTGTGAGGTTGGATTGATTTGCTCACCGATTTCGAGGGCTTAGCAAAACCCCTTGTGCGATTGACGGGAACGACGAACGCCGTGTCCGAGAGAGATTGGAATGTTGGGGTGCTCCTGATTTTAGGGAGTGCCCGGTGACTCGAATCGGAGTTTCGATTCGGCCTCGCGTGAAATTCGAAGAGATCGGATAAGAAAATGTGACAATCATGGGGTTTATGGTTGAAATCCTTCTTGAAATTCGCGATTGGTTGGCAATGCATAGACCATTCTATCGGTCTAGCTTCCAAACTCCGAAGGGATATGATTTCGCATCTTGCGCCTCCAAGCTCGTGTTCCTTGATCAGAAGCCTCAGCCACAATCTCGAATGTTTGTGGACCGCAATGTCAGTGCAAACTGCCCGCTTCATCCATGCTTTGCTTCCATCTGGTCTGAGATTACACTCCTGAATGGCTGTCCTCTACCTGCCTTGCAACTCCAAGCATATTGCTTCTACCGTACCATGACCATGTATACATAAAGATTAAAGACCCATTGAACCCGAGTTTCTGTGCCTTGCAGTTCTTCATTGCGGCATTTCCAATGAAATCTGGTTTCTTGCCGCGCAACAATTGGCTTTGGAAATGGCGTTTAGTAATTTCAGTGGAAGCCCGATGTTTCTTTGGTATGGTGAAGATGTGGAGACGAAATTTAGTTGATAAGTCCCCCCATAGCTGATTCCACTCAAAAGCTTAAGTTATGGAGTTACTGACAACTATTTTACATTCTCCCTTTTAATTTTGGACGATATGCATAGCTTGCTGAGTCAATGATCGATAGCTGGTCCGAGGGGATGATCAACCATGCGGGGACTGAGAAGAGTCCAACTCAGAGTCCCAATAGAGAGTAGCAGCCCTTGTCATGTTCTCGTTCACTGTCACGCAGATACCATCTTTCTTGGTAGATGGAATGTGGTCAAAGAAGACTAAACACCTTCTAATTTGCATTTTCTTGTAGTGTTCCCTTTGAATTTGCTTAGCTGGTAGACCTTGCTTCATTATATACGTTCTGATAAGCTATAGGCCTGTCTAGAGTCTGGCCATGAAAAAATATTTTGTAATTTGCTGTATCTTTTTTGTAGGGCCATGCTTGCAACAAGCAGTTGGTGAGATCTGCCAGTGCCAGCACTGTTGCGACAAAATCCTCATCTTCAGGGGGCATCTTGAGCTGGCTGACTGGTGGGAGCTCCAGTACTTCGGCTCCCCTTGAATATCCACTTTCAGGTGTTGACCTTCCACCACCATTGCCAGATCATGTTGAACCGGGTAAAACCAAGATTTCAACTCTCCCAAATGGCGTCAAAATAGCCTCTGAAACATCCACAGTAAGTAGGCTTTCTTCATTCTCGTTGTGCAGCTTTGTGTTTGCAATTTCTCCATTCGAAGGGCACGACCTTGTTCAAACTTATTTGACAAAGTTGTGTTTGCTTGTTTCGGTTACCAGAATCCTGCTGCTTCAATAGGTTTATATGTTGATTGTGGCTCAATTTACGAGACCCCAATCTCTTCTGGAGTCACACATCTCTTAGAACGAATGGCCTTTAAGACCACAAAGAACCGTAGCCATTTACGCGTCATCCGGGAAGTGGAGGCAATTGGTGGCAATGTGCAAGCTTCAGCTTCTAGAGAGCAGATGGGATATACCTATGATGCCCTGAAGACTTATGTTCCTGAAATGGTTGAATTGCTTATTGATTCTGTGAGGAACCCTGCATTCCTTGATTGGGAGGTCAATGAACAGGTGTGTTTTATTACATCTTTGGTTTAACTGCTGCTATATTTTCCTTTAAATTCGGTAGGTTGTTAAATGATATAATGCTTTTCTTCTTATATCGATCATTTCCAGCTTCAAAAGATCAAGGCAGAGATAGCTGAAATCTCAAATAATCCACATGGCTTGGTTATAGAAGCACTTCATTCCGCTGGTTATTCCGGTGCATTGGCCAATCCTCTTTTAGCCCCAGAGTCTGCCATAAACAGATTGAACAGTGCAATTTTAGAGGAATTTGTTGCCGTAAGTCCTTGGGAATTCAGTCTGTAATTCATACTATGTGGCTCAAGAACTGAAGTTTTTCGTTTTTGGTTAACTGCTTCTTCATGCGGATTTTGCTGTTAAAAGTGATATGCATACAAAACTTCCAGGAACATTATACTGCTCCTAGAATGGTGCTTGCGGCTTCAGGGGTAGAACATGAGGAACTATTGTCAATTGCCGAACCACTATTATCTGATTTGCCAGGTGTACCCCGTCTCGAGGAGCCGAAATCTGTGTATACAGGAGGTGATTATCGTTGTCAAGGTGAATCAGGGGTGCGTATGATTATCTTTCTCCCACGATTTTCTTGTAGCTCTGCTGTACTTTTCGCTTTATATTTTTGAAACTATGATTTATTTTTCTTTTTATGTTAGAGAACCCACTTTGCTGTTGCATTTGAACTACCTGGCGGATGGCATAAGGAGAAGGAAGCAATGACTTTGACTGTTCTTCAGGTCTTAATACTGGTTTTTGTAATTGCTGTATGGGATTTGGTTTGGTTTATCTTTCTAATGTCTCCAGAGAAAGTGTGGTGGGCTTTTACTATTAGTATAGGAACAGAAATGAAGAAATAACAGAAAATCCTTTTATATGGGTTTTTGACAATTTTTGTCCATTTTGTGTTTTTGTAGATGCTTTTGGGGGGTGGTGGATCCTTCTCTGCGGGTGGTCCTGGGAAGGGAATGTATTCGCGGTTATGTGAGTCATCATTACTTTCTTGTCTTTTTCTTTATATGTTATAAGAAATGGAGCCTTAGCGCAACGGTAAAGTTGTCGCTATGTGTGACCTAGAGGTCACAAGTTCGAGTTGCGGAAGCAGCCTCTTGCAAAAATTGCAAGGTAAAGCTGTGTATATCAGACCCAAAGTGGTCCAACCCTTCCCTGGACCCTGCTCATCACGGGATCTTTTGTGCATCGGGCTGCCATTATCCTGTATTATTCTGTATATGTTACAACAGCACTTGGTCCATTTAACTTGGTTTGGAATCTGGTGCATATCCTTCTATGTTCGTCTCATTGAATTTATTAGTTACTACATTTTTCTTCCATCTGTTTTATTGTGCATTCGATTTTTGGGTTGTTAATCATATTTACATGATGTATATTGAGCAGATCTTCGTGTTTTAAACGAGTATCCCCAAGTTCAGTCCTTTTCAGCTTTCAGCAACATCTACAATAACAGTGGCATTTTTGGCATTCAAGCAACTACCGTAAGCCCCTTCTTGGAATTTTTTTCATTCTGTGATAGTGTGGATATTCTTTTCCCTCACTGTGCATGCGACTATCTTCTCCTGCAAGGGGTGCTCTCTTATGTAATGAAGCAAAGAGGCCCCTCACGTGGAGAAACTCATTATATGTTCTGTAAGAACTTGAGAAAGAGTGAGCAGAGAAAAAAGGACTGGATAGCTGCATAAGTTAGAGACTCTGTGTTTTGCAAAATGGTCTTGAGAGGTGGAGGTACATTCCTTTTATAGGACTGAAGGTTTTGTGTACTTGATGAAGGTGAACATATATTGAACTCGCATTTTAGGAGTATTAGCAGCTATTGATATGACTGTCATGTATATAATGGTGGCTGTGGATGGCCAAAAAAAGGTACAATATGTACGATACTAGTTGGCTATGGATATGATGGTGTGGATTACATAAAGTGAGCTACAACAATGGTTAGAAGGTATACCATTACTAGGGATAGGAGACATGTCATAAAGTGACCGTGCCATATTCCTCTTGAGATGGACTTGGAAGAGGGTGACATGTCAAGTTGTCGCTTAAGGTCTGTTTTCGTTGGACTATCCTGGTTGTATACTACATCTTCGGTGTTAATATGTGATATTTAATTCTTCTTTGAAATTGCTTCTTGTTAGAAAGTCCAACCCAAAAGCTTAAGCTATTAGGTGGAGGGAGACCACATGAATATAAAGAGCATTCGGGACCTGTTATCAATCGATGTGGGATAATACTTCAACACCCACACTCACGTGCAAGCCGGATTACAAGCAGCACGTGAAATTTTGACTACGCACATTCGCAAAAGGGATAGCATTGGCTCTGATACCATGTGAGAAAGTCAAACCCAAAAGCTTAAGCTATTAGGTGGAGAGAGACCATATAAATATAAAGAGCATTTAGGACCCGTTGTGAATCGATGTGGGATAATATTTCAACATTTCTTTTTCTTTGTTTTTTGAGTAGATAGGCACTTCCAGCATTGATGATTTAGCTTAGGTGTCGTCAAACTCTACATGAAATCTTGAGAAATTCCAGAGAAAATAGCATATTGAACAAGAAAGGTCCTTCACAAGATGGATGACTTAGCAGGAAGTCTCGTGCAACCATGGATGTCATATTTAGGAAGTGTTCTGACTAGCCTATTTTGGAAGTACTAAAACAATAGCTAGAGTTGCTTTCCCTCATGCAATTATAATTTTTCAAAAATATGATCATAATATCATTCTAGAACCTAATCCTGAAAATGAACTGTTCAATAAGGAATATTTTCATCATTGCTTTGAATAAAATTTTAGGTTGTACTTTGCCATCACTTTCTCCTTGTCATCACATTCTCCCACACTGCATGGTCACCTGCTTCTTCCTTTGATATTCATCGACCTACTTCAAGACTATTTTGTGAATAGAATAAGTTGATGCTATCCATAAATTTTCCTTATCTTTTAGTTCTTTTTAGGTCCTTTTTAGGGTGCGAATGATAATCATTCTGTTTCTGTCTAGAACTAGTTTTCTGGTCCCAGAAACAGGTTTGGAACAAAAACCCGTTTGGTAACGCAATTCCATTTTTCTATTTCTGGAACAACTTTCCGTTCCAGAACTAGTTCCGGACCAAAAATCAGAACAAAAAAAAAGTAGGTTTTCTGTTTCTGGACGAGAAATGAAAACCATTTCTAAAAGAACCTGTCTTCTCTCTTCAAAACACATCTCTTCCTAAATTTGGCCCCGGTCTAACCTAGTCGGACCGATTCGAACTGGCTCGGTCCGGTTCATTCTCGGCGGGAAAATAAAAAAAAATTCTAAAAAAATCATAAAAATTAGAAAATTCAGAAAAAAATAAAATATAAAATCCAGAAAATTCATAAAAAAATTTAGAAAATCCGGAAAATTTCTAAAAATCACAAATTTTTTTTCAGAAAATCCATAAAAATTGAAAATTTCCAGAAAAATTCATAAAAATTGTAGAAAATAAAAAAAGTCAGCTTTCGGGAAAATAGGAAATTTGGTGAATTTAAAAAAAAAAAAATCAAAAATCAAAAATTTCAAAACTTCACAGGATGGCGTAGAATACCTGTGGCCACCCACTTTAAGTGAAATTTAAATTTTTTGAGGTGTCCAAATGGTATTTTTGAAGACTCCTTAGTTTCTAAAAAAATGGATTTTTGTTCCGGAAAATAGAAATTTGTGTTGTTATCAAACGGGTTTTTGTTCCAGGAAATAGAAATTTTATGCTGTTATCAAACGGGTTTCTGTTCCAGAAATAGAAATTTTTGGTCGTTATCAAACGGGTTTCTTTTCTCAGAAACTCGTCCCGTGAACAGAAATAGAAAAATATATTTCTGTTCCAGGAATTGTTTCTGGAACAGAATGGTTATTATTCGCGCCCTTATTGGCTAGAATATGCTAGTAATAGGATGTTACAATATACAGGGAAAGTGATCTTTTCCCTGTTTTTGCTTCTTTTTATGAAAAACATGCCTTGGCAATCTCATGCAAGTGGTTCCTGGTAGTGGTGAGCATAATATAGGTCAACCTGTTGAAATATACCAAACTGAACCATTTTAGCGGTTTGTAATGGTTTCCAAAAGTTGAAAACCAAACCATTGAAAAACTGTATTTTGCATATATGATATAGATCATAGTTGTCAATGCTTGTTGTCATTTTTTTATTAATGTTTAAGGTAACATCCTGAAGAATATCGTATTTTGTGTTCAATTGGACTTTTGTTGGTCAATTTGGATCAAGATGCTTGGATTGATACATATTTCTCTGATGGTGATATTGGAAAAATTTTAGTGAAATGCAAATGTCTTTTGGTCACGGTTTGGTTCGGTTGGCTTCCAATGAGTAAAACGGTTTGGCTTGAGTTTTTATCGAACCATATATTTATGGTTTCGTTTGGTTTAGCCTTCAAATCACACCAAACCGCACCATGCTCAGCTCTCGCTCCTTGGCTTGATTGTGCCATTTATCTTAAGAATTTGCAGCTCCTTTTTGACTTGCATTTTTTATGTGTTGTGGTCCTTTTTCCTTATTTACTAATTATGTACTTAAGGAACTTAACTTTCTGGCTTTCAGGGTTCTGATTTTGCAGCCCAAGCCATTGATATTGCGGCGAGGGAGCTTATAGCAGTGGCAACACCAGGAGAAGGTTGAGTGCTGGGCCTTTATGTTGATAGTGCTTTTTCTATAGTGTTTGTTCTGAAAACTACTGAGTACTTTATTTTGCTTACAGTTGATCAGGTGCAGCTGGATCGTGCCAAACAGTCAACGAGGGCAGCCATTTTGATGAACTTAGAGTCCAGAGTATGTGAACATTGCCTCTTACTTATTTCCTCAGCATTATGAACTTAGTTGTTGACTGAAGTTGATGATGTATATCCATCTCAAGGATCAGTTTTTGCATTGTTTATTAACTATCTTATTTTCCTTTAGATGGTTGCGTCAGAAGATATAGCCAGACAAATTTTGACGTATGGTGAGAGGTAAGACCTATGTACAGACTATGCTTCTATTTCCTGATGAGTTATCTTTACATCTTTGCATAAGAAACTCTGAAATTTGTTTGTTGCATTACAAATCTAATTTATTCAGTTATATGTTTTCTAGTGTTTCTCGTGGAACAGAGTTTCAGGTCTTTTGCTGATGGGGTAGCAGGACAAATATCCTTAGAAAAAAGTTTCTAGTTGTAGGATAAGTGTTGGAGGCTAGGTGAATTTGTAGTCTACGTGCCAGTTCTAGGTGAATTGTTTGTGATTTTTGGGACCATGGGATTCAGTTGCCTTCAAGGAATCAGATGGAATTTCCTAGATGATGGTTATGGGTTTTACTTTTTTGACTCATAAGCATCCTGGAAATATGCTTCTCTTATCTAGACTGAGAAAAGAATTACACCTTGGAGCTAACTGCCCTTTCAAGGTTTGGAGAAAGCTATGTGCATGTTGCAGAAACTTGCCTGTCCCTGTAGATTTCTGGATCTTTTGGGTTGGATCTAGGAACTTGTTCTGGAGATTTTAAGACTGGCATAATGATCCCACATGCTGCTGGACTAAGATTTTCTTTGGTGTCTGCACTTGGGAATTTGCTGGGATCTTTGTTAACTTTCTATTCTATGATTCTTCTGACTTTTCAGTCCATGGCAACTGGCAAGCTCTTCTGACATGTTATTAGTTTATGATGATTTGCTGGTTAGATTGTTCCAAAATGCAGTCTTCACTGCAGTAATCATTCTTTGATTCTCGGTGTGTACCTCATGTTGCTTTTACTTGCATATTGCATATCCTGTGTATTGACTATATGGTCATCTTGTTTCTGAGAATTTCTCGGTCATCTGAAGGAGGTTTCCTTTGTTCATTCCAGGAAACCTGTAGAGCATTTCCTAAAGGCTGTTGATGAAGTAACACCAAAGGATATTGCTTCCACTGCCCAAAAACTCTTAAAATCCCCCTTAACAATGGCATCATATGGGGACGGTAATTTCCATGGTTGCAATTTTCTTTTCTGGATTCTCAGCTTATGCGCCTTAGTCTATCCTAACATCGGAATCCCCCTTTGCTTTTGCAGTTATTTATCTTCCAACTTACGATTCGATCAGCAGCAAGTTCCATGCGAAATGAGGATCGACTGTGCGGGCTCGTGACGTGATCTTGTCGTTATAGTTTATCCTTCTTTAACAGTGCATATCTTCGAGCTCTCTTTGCCACATTTCTGGTGAAAAATAAGGGAGGACTCTGATTCTTTGTTGAACAATAATCAGTGAAACAGGGAAGCAGCAGTTCATGCGGGAGATTTTTGTTGGAGGCCTAGATTGCCTTATGCTGTCAAGTCTTCTGGTTTACTTATTATTTTTCTTAATGCTCATCTGATGTAATTTGGTAGATGCATCTTCTTTTTGAGCTTATCCTACAGCTACCTCAAGCTCATGAAGCTTCATCAACGAGTTATTTCGTGATATTTTGTGCAATGTTTTAGATCTAATGATATTTTTCTTAAACAAAATCTCGGCAGAACTCTTGACTCGGATGAGTTATGTATCACTTGGCCGTCGGCGTTGGCTTGTCGCCGTTTTTAACATTTACTAATGTTTAAAGCAAGTGCTTGAGACTCTTGATTATTGACTCATGCATGGAAAATAGAATGCACTTTCAAGGGCCAGCCAAATTGTTCTAGTCATCCCTGTGATACGCGGGCTGAAGTACGAAGACACGACAGCAATAGCCAAAATGGACTTGTGAAGTCGAGTACCATGTACAGTGGGATGAGATTTACGCTGTGACTTAGGAAGAAAAATGACAGGCTTGTTTCATCGGATCGGCACATTTTGTTAAGTTATCTAAACAAGACTATGCATAGGTCCTGCAGACAATATAATCCAAGTCTTGGTTGACATCCTCAAGTGGAAAATTCTGCCTCCATTCTGAGTGTACCACGCAAATTATTTCACATTCCAGCCTTCTGCTTCTATGATGTGGCTTTTAAAGAAGATCACTACAACTCATGCAGCTCCAAATTTTGCGGATCATCAAACGGCAACTCATTGATCAATGACTTTGATTATTCAACAATTTTAGGAATTTCCTATGGCAGCGGAATTAATCAATTTTATAAAGGGTGCCAAAATATAATTTCGAAATCAGGAGTTTTGACTTTCATAGCCATCTTCTAGCAAGATATATAATAGTCTTGTAAGGAAGCTCAGGTCTGTGTCAAAGTTTGAAAATGGAGAGGAGACTTTACGAATAGGAGGCTAAAGGAGATACAGCTTCCTTGCTGGCCGTGCTAAGAGATGATTCATAGTTGGGGTCTTAATTTATTATAGCGAGACTCCTCTATAGATAGCAGAGGTGGTCGGGCTAAGACACATGAAATTTGGAGAAATTATCAAAAAAGTCCTAAACCTATTGTAATTGTGCCAATTCAATCCTAAACATTTTTTTGAGCCAAATCAGTCTTAAAACTTTTGCATTTGTGCCAATTCACCGACGCTAACGTGAAAATATTTTTTATTTAAAATTTTTAATTATTTATTTCTCTTTTTATTTTCTTTCTCTTTCTCTTTTTTTTCCTTCCTTCTTCCTCTAGCCAGCTAGGTCGATCTCGCCCACCCCTGGCGAGGGCTCGACCTCACTGGTCAGAGGAAGAAAGAATTAAAAAAAAGGAAAAAAAAAATTAAAATTTTTCAAAAAAATATTAAAATATTATTAAAAATTGTTTACATTAGCGCCGGTTGTGTCACGTCAGCGTCAATCGTGCCACATCAGCGTCAACCGGCCAAAATTGGTCATATGGACTGAATTTACACAAATGCAAAAGGTTTATGACTCAATTGGCACAAACCTTTTGCATTTGTGTAAATTTCTGAATTGATATAATTGCAATAGGTTTAGGACTTTTTTAGTAATTTTCCCCCCGAAATTTTCGATGCAATTCTTAATCGGAAACCCAAAGTCACTAAAGAGCAGTTAAAGGGTACTCACAAACTGCGAAGAAACTGTTGAGTATTGAGGTGGATATGTGCATTTTACACTTCACAGCTTTGATTATTTTATATGGATTGCCATCAAGAGGATATTTTCTCGAGAAGGACCTAATTCTCCATTCTTTACGTTTTTTTTTCCCTCCATTCTATAATTTTTAGGAATTACTGTCTATTCGAATATTAAATATATAAACTCATAAGCAAACAATAATTATTATTAGTCTTGCTCCGTCTGATTGTCCCCCAGTCCCGTAATTTTGTGTAAATCCCTACGAAGCTACAAGCTGTGGTAGGACAAGAAAATAGGTTATAGATTGTTGACAGACGAGACTCCAGGTTCTTCTAGTTTGATAGCCCAGCAGCTGATCTTCCCAGAGAAGCGCAATCATGATCATGAACACTGGAAATCTTATAATGATTCCCAAGCACCCACAACCTGAATCTCAACTGCCTTTGGGCAATCTGAAACTGTGAAATGTCTCATCTTCCTAAAACGCTTGATGATTCAAGGGATATTACTCCCCCATGAATCGCCGACTGACCCGAGACTCCGAATTGCCGTGCCCCTCGACAGCTCCCGCATCATCGAACCCTGAATGTCCCGGTAAATGTTCGATCCTCTCGAAAGATTTGCCTTTCTCAACGCGCGAGCTCGCCAACCATTCCAGCACACCAGAAATGGACAGTCTCTGTAAGCGGTACACCTTGCCATTTTTTTTTTCCCGTCGAAATACGAATTAATTGAATGAAAAGTGCTCAAGAATAAGTGCTCACTGAGGGAGCATCCAGACGAAGTAACTTCCAGAGGGGTAGGGGGGACAAGCTAACCAATTACATGTTTCGATCTTGAGATACTCAGGTTCTTATCGAAACATGTGAGGATTAACCGATGTCGAGGGCCTTGGCTACCCAGTCCTGCAATGGGCTAGCTTCAAGTGTGCAAATTAGCCCATGGACCACCGGGCCTCATATACTAGAGATTGTACGTCCCACGGAGCTTCGAGAGAGTTGGAAATGGCTTCTACCAACTCTGAACAGTCTGACACCACTTCAAGTACTTCGCTTCTTCCGGTCGTGAAGAAAGAGAGAGCTTCGATGAGGGCTGAGGTTTCGACATGGAAGGCGGAAGCTGCTATTACAGATTTGGCAAAACATCAAGAATCGTCCTTGACGAGTTGAAGTGCATATTAATGGGGAAGCTTGTAATGCGAAATTACACGTGAAGTTGTTATCATTAATGTAAATTCTCTTATCAATTGAATACAAAGTCATCGTAATTTAAATTATTTAAACTACATTAGAGGGACGGCTTAGGCTGATTATTTTGGACGCAATTTATGGCACATAGCTAAGCATGTTCTTGCTAAATTTTATCTTGTCCATGCTCTTGATGGGCCAATCCACTTATAAATACAGGAAACATGTCATTGTAAGAGTTGTTCATTTATATCAACTTGCAATTGTCTAGATATGTTTAATTAAATAAGTTGACACATTATTCGCCTATATTATATTTACATAGCCATCATATGTGACTAAACACAATGATTGCTTATGTGTGAAATTAGTACAAAATTGACTAATTTATGCACTTCGTTCCATCAGTCTTTCGAACTTTTAATTTGCGCATTCAACTCTTCAAATTCTTTTGATTTGATTAATCGTGTCCTTTGGTCATCAACCCATTTAGTCATAGTCATGTGGCTGTTGAGGGGAAAAGTATAAAAAAAGTCTTAAACCTTTTGCATTGATGTCAATTTAATCCTAAACCTTTTGAATTGGTGCCAATTTAGTCCTAAACTTTTTTTTGTACCAATTCAGTCCTAAACCTTTTGCATTTGTGCCAATTTGATCCTAAACATTTTGTCATTGTGCCAGAGGCCGGCGAGGTCACCTCGCCCAGCCGCAAGCGAGGCTCAAGCCCTGACCGGAGGCCGCAAGGTCGAAGACTTCTAGCGAGGGCTCGAGCCTCGCCCAGCCATGGCGAGGCTCGCCTTTCCCGTCGCTGGCAAGGGCGAGCCTCACCAATGGCCGGCAAGGTCGACCTCGTCGGCCTCTAGTCGATCACCGGACTGGCGACCGGTTGGAGGAAGGAGGGAGGGGAGGGAAAAAAAATTCAAAAAATTATTAAAATATTATTAAAAGTTATCCACATCAAAGCCGATGATCAGCTGCCAGCCGATTGACGTCCCCGTCAGCAAAATCCGGTCAAAATTGGCTAGAAGGACTGAATTGGCACGAAGACAAGATTTAGGACTGAATTGGCACAAATATAAAAAGTTTAGGATTTAATTGGCACCAATATAAAAAGTTTACGACTGAATTGGCATAAAAAAAAGGTTTATGACTAAATTGACATAAATGCAAAAGATTTAGAACTGAATTAGCATAAAAAAATGTGTAGGATTAAATTGGCACAAATGTCAAAGGTTTAGGACTTTTTTGACACTTTTCCTGGCTGTCAAGATATATATAGAGAGAGAGAGAAGGGGGAGGAGGAGGGAGTGGCTGCCGCAGATTTGCCGCCTCCAGCGACACCACCGGCAGCAGCCACAACCGCCAGCAAGTGTCGAGGTGACTTAGGAAGTGTCATGACTCGCCGCCCATCAAAGCCTTGTGATAATCCTCTGTGATAACATACCATTGGGTATCGAAGCCCAAAGCCAGCTAGGAAATTAATAAGAACCTGAAGATCAAAGCAATCAAGAAACCGCACGCTACGCTTATTTTGGTAATCCAGAGATACCCGTAACCACAGATATCACCGAGGAGTGGGGGAATTCCAATTGCCAACAAGTAAAAGTGTCAGAATTCATTGCGAAGACTGTGCAACAAGATGAAGCAGAATACACCACGCAACAATAGCTCTTTTGTTTGTATCTTTATACTCACTTGACCTTCTCTCGCACTCTCTCTCTCTCTCTCTCTCTCTCTCTCTCTCTCTCTCTTAGACACAAGATACCGGGGGGCAATTCCTAACTCGATACAACTCATTCCCAGAGGAATTCCTGTACAGACATCAAAAAGAGCCGCCGTGACATGCAAAACGTCTTAGCACGCGCGTGCCTCCGGTACTGGCAACCGCCTCGGCAGACTCCCAATACCACCAGATACTTTTAACGAAGCGAAAAGGCAAGACAACTTTGCAATCATGGGTCTTGACCTCGTCACCTTGGGGATGATGGCCAGATCCTTACCATAATTATCTTCCAAGGTGCACTGGTACCCTTCCAGATCGGCCTTTGTTATAAAGACAGTGTCCCCCGAGCCTGACGGAGAACATACCGCCATCGTTCTTAGGCCCTTGCTGTATTCTTGAACTGCCTGTTTAGATTGTAAATTGAGGAAGAAGTGGCAAACTATAACTTAGAACTGTTAAGAGAAGGATACAATTGCCTAAAACCAACTGGAAAAGAAAGGATACAGTTAAAACTAGAGCTAAAGAAGTTGCAACAACATTGACCTGTACATCTAGAGCTAGAACAACCAAAATTCTCTGATAGCTTCAATAATCTACCATTCGTCAAGTTATTAACATAGTACTAGACTCTGGTATCTAGTTTTCCATGTCGCTAGATTAGATTCAGGTGTCTCAGTTCGACTAGTATGATAATACAGGAACAGAGATCATGGGCTAGCCTTCTAAGAACAAATTCCTTAACCAATAACTCTTTAGTTACCTTTGTGGCCCCAAAGGTCAAAATCCTCTCTCTCTCTCTCTCTCATGCACATTGACACAAGCAAACAGAAATTTAAAGATTAAAAAACACCCTAAAATTTCAATTGTGCAGCTTGAGTCAAGTTCGATTATGAAACTTATTGCTTAGTCAAGCTCAAGCGTCGAGTTTTTAAAAAATGCAACATCGATATTCTATAGTGTTAACTCAAATTGACTTGATCTCACCCATATTATCCCTTTCCAACCAAGGAAAGAAATAAGTATAATTAGACAATCCAAAAACGAAAACCAGCAAGCGTGTCCTCACCTTCCACTGCGCAGGGGCTAGGAGTACACGAGGCCTTCTAGACCTAACATATTCTAGAGCAGCAGCAGGAGTCATGTGTTTATACTTTACCTGCAAACGAAAGGAGCTCAATCTTCTATCTGATAAAAAAGAGGAACAAACTTCCATAGCTTCAGCTACATGACAGAAGTAAAAAGTAATGAGTCTATTCCTCTGTAGGAGATGAAACTCACCAAATAGCAGAGCACTATTGTCGTGCTCCTCCCACGACCAGCTTTACAATGAACATATGTTGTTTGGCCACATGATGAGTTTCCTGAATGAAGGCAACAAAACAATATCAAATGATTGAAGAAATCCCTATAGCAGAGATGACAACATACAGCCAGAATCAAAAGGAACACACAAAAAAAACAAATAGCTGAGCTTCAAAGATGTCATACTGTAAATGAAGTCCACTGCACGGCCAATGTCAATGAAAGATGGAGCAAAGAGATAATCCCTGGTAGGTAGTACAAGGTGGTCAATCCCATGGGCCTGAACCAAACAAGCAAGTTAAGTAATGAGTAGGATATCATAAGCAACTCCTACATAGATCAGCTCACAAAAGAAAGATATCTCTAGAATCGCTGATAGGTTTTCATGGATGAAAATGTATCACAAACTATAACACGAAATGTACCCTTTTATAGTCTACCCTGTCAAGAACAAGAGTTTCGAGGAAATTAAGTGGTAGAGAAAACTCAGCACATAGCAAAAATAAGCACATGATATGATCTCAAGGATGTACGCACATGGTACAAAGATGACGGCACCAAAGTTTCATAAGGTTCATTTAAGGTGATGACACCACCAACACCAAGCTGCTTTAGTCTTGGAACATCCTTGGGGAATGGCACTGCACCCAGCAAAAGAAACTGCAGATCATCAAAAGAAAACAACTCTGTGAGAAGACCATAAAATCAATCTTAACAATCTTCTTTGGAAGGTCAGGACAAACAATTTAGTTCATAATCGATGAAAGGCACAACAACTGTGAATTAAATCTCGGCAAACACCAACCATAGATGAGCTTAACCTTCCCTCTAGATTTGACCCTCGATTTTCAAAATTGTTAACATCAAGAGAAACTCGTTCCGCACCCAAGATTGTGTCAACGCTCCAGCTTCTTGGTGGGCCCCATTCATTTACTGCACGTGCACTTCTCAGCCATCCAAACTAACAAATAACACACAAAAACACAAAGAACACACCAACACAAAAGACCCGGTTCTCGACTATTCGAAATCCCAACTTCAATCCCGATTCACCACCTCCCAGCACTCCCTCAAAGACCAATCAGCCGCACCAACCAACCAACCAAACCTCATAACATGTATCAATACACAGTCAACGGGATACCCAGAAGGGAGACCGCATCAATTTCTCGAATTTCCACCAAATAACAGAAAACAATAAAAAAAAAAAGGTGAAAAAGAAAGAAAAGTCAACCTGATCGACTTCATCCCACCATCTGAACTGCGCTTGGATCTTGTTCCGAAACACATTATACAAGAGGGTGGGGTAAAACAAGATCCTGGCGCCCGCACCCACCAAGACCCTCTTCGTGTCGTAGCTGCTCACCACCATCTCCCCATCGACCCCGTCGCCCCTCTCCCGCCCCGCGTCCTCCAACTCCTCGATCTTCATCCTCTCCGGCCCCCAACGCCCCCCGACCCAAGATTCTCCCGGGCAAAACCCGAAGTGGGTACCGAGCCAAATCGCCCGCCGGGGCTCACCACGTGGGCTTCGGGGGAAGCCGAGGGAAGAAGGGCATTTGATGAATCGGGGGAAAAGGGGAAGGGGAAGGAAAGGGAAGGTGTGGGTGTGAAATGAATCGAGATCGGGGAGAGCTTTTGAGCTGGAGGGAGAGGTTCGCGAGTTCAGATTCGCCGATGCGCGGAACGAGGGAAGGGAATCGGACAACGCACCACGATGGGATTCGCCTCCTTCTGTAGATGCGGATTCAAGAACTCCTCTATCAATTCGAACGGAGAAATTCTCTCTCTTCTTTCTCTCTCTTGTTTCGCTCTCCACTCTCTCTCTTCTTGCTCTCTCTTGTTTCTCTCTCTTGTTTCTCTCTCCACTCTCTCTCTTCTTTCTCTCTCTCCACTCTCTCTCTGCTTTCTCTCTCCACTCTCTCTCTTCTTTCTCTCTCTTGTTTCTCTCTCCACTCTCTCTCTCTTCTTTCTCTCTCTGCTTTCTCTCTCTTGTTTCTCTCTCCTCTCTCTGCTTTCTCTCTCTTCTTTCTGCTTTTGGAAAGTTACGCAATGCAATTGAAGAGTCGAAAATGCATGGAGGACTGAGGTGGCGGTCTGAATCCGGGCTCCGTGTTGTGGTTTAATTACGGAATTGCCATACCCTTTTTTACTTATTTTTTGGGCCCTCTCTCGAGGGGCTAATCTCGTAAAAGTCTCTCGACTTTAAATCTAATCTCAATTCTACCTAAAAAAAATTCCTCAAACTTTCCGTTCTATTCCCAAATCTGTCACAATATTGGGAAGGCGGCTGTTACTCCATACGAAGTTGAGAATGCTAATGAAGACGCGGTGCGGATTCCCATGGTCAGCCTCTAGTTGGCCATAATGTTAATAACCAGAGGAAATTTGTGGCAAATTTTGGATGTGTAGGTAGATTTGAAACTAGAGTGAAAATTAGAAATATTTTAAGATACTCAGAACAGAATTATAATTTGACCTATAATTGGGATTTTTTTAGAGAGTTAGGATTTTCTTTCAAGCTTTTTCCCCTTTCCTGTTTTTTTTGCTCTTCTTTTGGGCCAAAGCTTTATTTCTTCTTAGACAAATTATGTAACATCCAAAATTCTGGCTATGAGGAATGGTTATAGAACTGGTGTGCCGATAGTGGGGGAAATTAGCCATGAACCAATCCAAGAAACGGTTATGGACCGATCAACCAGATCAGGATCGGAAGGGTAACCAAGGGATCGGCCATGATCTGATCGGATTGGCCCTGCAATGATCAAGAGATTGGCAGTGCATCAATCCAATAACCACGTGAGCGACCCGAGCTATTTGACTATGAATCGGCTGCCCGACCATAAGGGTTGGTCATGGGACAGTCACGTACCACCACGGATCGATGGACGATCATGGACTGATTCCGCGCGGTCCTATTCCGATCGCGAATGATTCCGCACGGTCATGTACCAATCGCAGACAACCATAGATTGATCCGTGTGATCGTGTGTTGGTCACGGAACGATCGATCTCACGCAACTACATGATGACCGAGAGTCGGCCACGGACCAAGTATGCTTGGCCATGGACCGATCATGAACTGGCCATGGGGCCACTTGGACGGGTCACGTACTGGTCATGGATCGATCGCCGATTGGTCCGGCGACCTTGCCGAATAGGCCATGTGTCAAGCAGTGAGCTAGGCCTAGTGCCAGACCACAAGTCGACCATGTGCCTGGACTTGGACCCTGCCGTAAGGCCACGAGCCAGCACAGGCATCGGCCATGTGCTCGGCCAGCTCGTGGACCTTACTGTAAGCCATGAGCCAGCACAAGCATGGGCCAAGCGCCCATTCAGCCCGGTCCTGTACTAGCCATGTGCTTGGTCAGGCTGAGGACACTGCGGACAGGCTGCGAGCCAGGTTAAGCACAGGCCATGCGCCCTGTTAGCTTAGTCCTGCTCCCGTTCAGCCCGGCCCTGCACCCGGCCAGCGCCGGCCACGATGCCCACGCCATGGGCCACCGACTTAGCCAACCAAAACAAGTTTGGCCATGACTCGCCACATCCGATGGTGACTTGGCTACGAACCTCGGTTTGGTAGGCACAATCAATCATGGATGAACATGAGAAACTCATACCCGACTAGGTTGGCGCTTCCATTGGCCTAATTCTCATGCTTGCCATATTCTTGAAAATATGGACAAAAGAGAAGGCTCTAGAACATTGACCATTAATCCAAGGGGGTGAATCATCATCTTATGTGGCCTAAGGAAGATTTGGTCATGATGACTCAAGATTTGTCTTGAGGAAGAAGTTAGCGACTCATGACCAAGTGTGCTAATTAGAAATGCACACATTAGCTTCATGATTTCCCTAAGAGTTTAGGCATGCCACACCATCCCATTAGGCATGCCACCTCTTCTTGTTAGGCTTGCCACTCATTAAATAGGCTAGCCAACTCATTCTAATAGGCTTGCCACTTTAAGGAAATCAATTGGACCACTTAGACAAGCAATGATGAAATTGAGGTCTATAAATAGATGAGCCCCCTCTTTCATTTTCATTCTTTGGCTCACTTTCTCATTTTTCCTTTGTTGTTGATAAAAGAGAGAATGTTTTTCTATTGAGATTAAAAGAAGTACTTATAGGCTTAGGGTTAAGCCTTGTATAATTACATAAATAACCCCAACTTGCTAAACTGTAGAATAATAAATAATAACCCAACATTCCCCCTCAAGTTGGGGCGTACATATCAAAAAGGCCTAACTTGTGGCAAATGTATGAAACTCGTCCACGTCGAAGAGGCTTTGTGAAAATGTTTGCTAGCTACTCCTCAGAACTTGTGTGCACCAACTGTATATCACCACAATTGACTTTTTCTCGAACAAAATGGCAATTCACTTCTATATGCTTCGTTCACTCATGAAACATCGGATTGCTAGCAATGTGAACAACATATTGATTATCACAATGAAGAGTAGATGATCTGGTCATAAGCAGTCCAATCTCAGCTAACAACATTCGAACCCATTGAAGTTCACTTGTAACATTAGCCACGATACTCAGCCTATATACTAGATCGAGAAACAACGGATTGTTTCTTACTTTTCCATGACACAAGATTACCACTAAGAAAGACAAAGTATCCAGAAGTAGACTGGCATCCATAGGACAACCGGCCCAATTTGCATTGGAATATGCTGTTACCTCCACAGACTTAGGGTTTGAACAACCAACTATATGAAGATGACCCTGATTATGGAACACAAGTCCTTGATCCGGAGCTCCCTTCAAATAGCGAACAATTTGTAGGACGGCTTGCCAGTGAGTAGTACGGGGAGAGCTCATGAATTGACTCACCACACTAACAGCAAAGGAAATATTTGAACGAGTAATGGTGAGATAATTTAACTTGCCTACTAACCGGCGATACTTCTCTAGATCATGAAGAAGCTCTCCATGTTCATTATCAAGTTTCACCTAGGGTCCATAGATATGTCACTAGGCCTAGCGTCATGCAAGCACACCTCCTTAAGAACGTTAAGAGTATACTTTCGTTGAGAGAGAGCGATAGTGCCATTGGCATAGGCAACCTCTATGCCAATAAAATATCGAAGATGACCCGGGTCTTTAGTGTTAAACTCCTTCTGTAAAAACTGCTTGAGCCGTTGTATACCTTCAACATCACTTCCGGTAACAATAATATCATCAACATAAACAACAAGGATAACACACCCCTTTGAAGAAGAAGAAGACATACTAAACACGGAGTGATCCACACTGCACCGATATATGCCAAAAGTAATAACTGCATCACTAAAGCAGCCAAACCAAGCACGAGGAGATTGTTTAAGTCCATAGAGAGCTTTTTGCAACCGGTACACCTTCTCCCCATGAGCAACAAACCCAGGTGGTTGCTCCATATAGACCTCCTCGTAAAGATCACCATGAAGGAATGCATTTTTTACATCAAACTGATGAAGAGTCCACTTAAACCGGTAGCCAAAGAAATAACGATACGAACAGAAAGAATTTTGGCCACTGGAGAAAAAGTTTCATCATAATCGATACCATAAGTCTGAGTATAACCCTTCACAATAAGACACGCCTTTAAGCGCTCAACTGAACCATCAGGTTGGTGTTTGACGACAAAGACCCACCAACAACCCACCAATTATTTATCAGGAGGCAAATGAACCAACTCCCAAGTCTTATTATGATGTAATGCAGCCATCTCCTCCTCCATAGCACGAGCCCAACTTGGATGGGCCAAAGCCTCCTCTACACTACTGGGCACAAATACAGATGCAAGGGACGACACAAAGAGAGATATCTCAGGGATTAAATTATGATAAGACACAAAATGAGAAAGACGATACCTAGACCAAGTACGATGGGCAATAGGAGAATCAACAGGAGCTAGTGGAAGAGGATCAAAAGCCGGGGCCGAATGAGGTGGTGGGACGTTCGTTGATGGAGAGTTATGACCCCAAACAGATCAAGGACCACATGTATAGACTTGAATAGAAATTAGTGTAGGTAATCCTGAATCGAGCGAAGCATCAGTAGAAGGAACTGGCAGTGACTCCGATTGAGAAGTAGTGGGAGATACGGTCGGAGTCAGCAGCAATGACTGATAAGGTGCAAAAGGTGACAAAAGATCCATCGTCGATGGCGCTTGAGAAGAAACATTGCCAAAATATGCTTGATTCCTAAAGAACGTCACATCAGCAAAAATATACTCCTGACGACAAGTAGGACTGTAACTAACATAGCCTTTTTGAGTACGAGAGTAATCGATGAATACACATTTTTTTGCACGAGGTGATAATTTGTCCAATTCAGGAGATAAAGAATGGACGAACAAATACACCTAAAAATACGAAGACGAACAAACCACAAAGGACGACCAGGATGAAGAAGAGCATAAGGGACAGCTCCCTTCAACATGGAGGTCGGAAGATGATTAATAAGATGACATGCTGTAAGAAGAGCATAGCTTCATAATGACTTAGGCATATGGGTGTGGAGAAATAGACAACGCGCAACATCTAATAATTAACTATTCTTTTGTTCAGCAATCCCATTTTGTTGCGGGGTGTGAGCATAAGAACTCTGATGTAAAATTCCATGCAAGGCAAGAAATAGAATAAAGGTAGAAGAAGAAAAGTATTCACGAACATTGTCTGTACGCAAGCATTTAACAAGATAGCTATATTGAGTACGAACTTAATTATAAAAATGGCAGAAAGATTGAAACACTTTAGTACGATCTTTTATTAAATATAACCAAGTTGTACGACTACAATCATCAATAAAGGTGACAAAATAGCGGAAACCAAATGAAGACTCTCGACTGGGACCCCAAACATCAGAGTGGACTAACTCAAATGGCTGAGACGCACGACTCAAAACACGAGAGGGAAAAGACACTCGATGGTGCTTACCTAACTGACATGTTTTACAATCAAACTGAATACTAAAACTAGACACAAAGGG